ACAAAACTGCGTTTTTACTTGCCTGGAAACTCTTCATTTATGATAGTTGCGGCTTGTTTGAAGATAATTTTCCTGAAATTTTCACATATGTTCTACCATAATGGCACGAAAACATTCAGAACCTAAACTTTGTTATATGTCAAAATAAAGCTCTTATATACTACTAATAGGAACTGAAAACCGTTTTGCAATATCTTAAACCAGTTAAGATATTTCCCGGTTCAAACATGGTATGAAAAAACCAGAATTTTCACTAGTTTTCAACTTCAAACAGCTCTAGAATCGCGAAATCAGCACCAAATGACCTGAAATTTGGCATTTCTATCTACTTTTATGTCCTCTACAAGAAAAAATCACCCAAAAAGTGTAAATCGGAAAAGTCCATTTTTCAAAGTGAAAGTCCCTTTTTTTTTCATTTTGCCCCATAGTGGTCTCAGTACTTCTTTTTGAGTCGCTTTCTCTCGATTTTTTATACCCATTTTATTTATACTTTTACAGGGCGACGCGGGATGAGTGTATTATACATGGTACAGAATGTGAATCAAGACGTGGTAGGAAAGGAATTTTTCTATTTCTTTATTTTTTTTCATCTTATTCAGCAAATGTTGGTGTGTATGCTATCGCTCTGGAAAATAAGCAAGAAGAACAAATCTTTAATATAAAATTATTTTCGTTCACGTCTGTTGATAACTCGTGCTCTTCTTTCTGACCTGATATTCCTCTTTCTTCCTCTCTTTTCCTCAATATTCTAAGTCAGTGTTGGATCTTGGATGATTTTGGGTAGGGGAGACAACAGATGTGACAGAATAGTATGTCTGTAGTTGGGATAAGATACGCTGAAACCATAATTATAATTGGTATGGAACTAGATGCCATCTGATTCCGATTTTGAATATACAGACAAATGCTGAACTAGTCGGAGTAGGTATCTGATTGTATTGATCATATAGTATCTCAACTGGTTAGATTCCAAAGCTAGATATCGAGTAACTTAGACATTAAATAGATAAGACTAGTGACCAGGCATTTTAAGTGGTTCTGACTTAGTCTTAATTTTTTTGCATCTAGGCAGTACACAGTTTTAACTCAACAGACTTCAAACCTAAATATCTAGGAAGATTTTGGATCAATAAGTCATAGATACATCCGGAATTAGTCTTAGATACTGAATTTGGTGAAATCCGGAGTGGTACCGCGTTAATACAATCCTGACCGCCAGATTGACAGTCGTGTGCCTTTCAGGACTGTGACAGATTGGACAGCAAAACAACAGAGCAAGCCTAAACTAGTTCATATTAGTCAGAATCTTACGCTTTTCAAACGATTCTTTGCGACATTATCTTCGACATGTTGATAGATAGAACAACACTGAATCCTCATAGATTCATCATGCTTGCTTAGCTCACTACTATTCAATCGTGTACACAGATATTTTCGATGTGATGCCTTCGTTTTGAGCAGGAAGAAAAAAAAATAAAAACTTGAGGAGAATATTGAATTCGGCAATTTTTTTCATTCCTTTCCTACTCGACGACTAAAGAAAAGAAAAAAAAAATACCGCAATCATACTTATACTGTTACGACTTAATGTCATGCATTTTTTTTTGCTCAAAAGTTTTTTATGACTTTTCATCCAAAACGGAATAAGAGGAAGAAAAAAAATGGAAAACTATCTTTATTGCCACCACTGTGACTATCATTTTATTTATCTCTTCTTCAAATTAAGTTTGAATAAAAAGTTTCTCTTGAACATTTTTTTTTCTATCCTATTCGAGCTATAGACGAGAATGAATGTTTATTTAACCTCAAAATTGAGGAGCAATCGTTAGATATGCACAAGACTTTCTTTCTTTTCTAAACCTAGATAAAGAATAATGAACATAATAAGGTTTGAGACCATTATCTGATGATTCTTAAATTTTTATTGCTAATATGCGGTACATCATTATATTTAGTCACGCATGTATTGTTCATTATCATATCATTATGGATATAAATTTTGTGACCAATGACTTATTTAATTTTCATGGCTAGTCTTTAAAACTCGTATAATAATAAGATAGGGGATTCTTAACACATTCTTGGGATCCTTTACGTGCAAATAACTCATTCATGTGTAAATGGTAAGGGTCAGTTTGTAAAAATTGGATTAAGTAAGGGGTTTTTAAATACTTTAATGAAGGAAATGTTCATTATTTACATCGTCATTAATATTTAATCGATTTTTATTTTGGAGATGTTTAATGATTTTGTAAGTGGTTGATGCTTTAGTGAGGGATAGTTTTGTTGTATTTTATGGACAGTCTAGTTTTTTTTGGGAATTTATTGCTTACTCCCGAGCGGCACATTAATGTGATAGCAGTCACGTGGCAGTCATGCAGAACTCCCAATAGGAATATTTGAAAATGCCATTTAAATAAACCAGATTAAAGACTTTATGCGGAAGCATAAATACAGATGTTGAGCTTGACATGAAGTACTAGACGATGAGCTAGCTGATGAGCTAGATGAAATACTAGAAGTAGGACGAGATGAGGTACTAGACCCAGGACTAGATGAATAATTGATAAAGAACCAGATGAAACACTAGATGCGGTAATAGATGTTGCGTTAAAAAAAGTACTTGATGAAGGACTAGAATAAAATGGTGCAAATTAATCCAGTACAATGCGCCATTAAATAGAATTTATACCAGCAAATGCACTTAGACTCAAAGATTCCCTTCTATCACGCTCATAAAAATCATTTACAAAACTAAAAACATCCAAAATAAGCATCATACGCAGCAAAAAGGTCTACCACATCAGCTCAAATTGCACCCAAAGGGATAATAAATTAATTTTGGTAAAATTTCGAATCCCTAAAAATTTCTCCAATCGAGAAGAAGAAAAAAATTCAATGAATTCTCAATTTCAACCCTTAAGAAGCTTACACATTCCTCTGAAAATTCATTTCTTTAATAGCACGTCAAATTTCTTCATCCATAAATTTGGTTATAAGTTATGAGTCATAAAAAATGTACCTTATCTCCTTCGCATTCCATAAGACGAAACCTCACGATTACCTCTTTCAATATCCCCATAATTTAAAATAAGATCTCGCGTCTTAAGTGAAATTTATCACGAGATAATTTACAAGATATTTTCATTAAGCCAACACTGGTAATATGCGCAAAATGTGGTAATTTATTATTCAAATAATCTTTTATGTAAATTTTAATTTAATATAAAAATCATAAATAAAACTAGAATATAACATAATAAAATATATATTCATGTGCTGTACATCTTTCATCTCAAGTATGTGTCATGCTCTTGACTTTCATAATGGAAAATTGCACAAAAAAGGTGCTTTAAATTGTTCAACCTCTTCACATGTTCTCAGTCATACAACAGTTATATTTTTTATCTCCTAACGTGAAGTCATTAGATTGAAGACTTTTTGTGTGAAGATAATTGCTCTTTTTCTCTCTCACTTGTCGTTGTCTTCTCTTCTAGCTGTTTTTAGAGGGAATATCAGGAAGGGTGCATGAATATGTGACATGAGGTGTTTTTTTTGCTTTTTGTCTTTGAAGCTATGAATTTTAGTGCTAGTTATTTTGCTAGGTTTTCTATTCAAAGGCTACATATTAAGAGTTCCTAGGTTCTCCTAGACATTACTGCAGAATTATTACTCTAAAATTGAAGCTGTTATTCTCCCAAATAGCACAAGTCGGTTAATCGAACAGAAACTCGGCACCAAACTAGCGTAGCTCTGGCCAGTTTCAATTCGAATTGAGTCTAGCACCATGCCACAGTCACGCTGGTTTGGTACCGGGTTTCCATTCGATTAACCGATTTGAGCTATCCGAGTCTATTTATATGAATCGCAATTTAGCTAGAAATCTATTACACATATTTTGCGATTAATTGACAAAAGTAAGGAGTTTCCTGATTTTTGATAGGGCATTGGTTTCTAGCCATATAAAGTTGAGTCTGCCACTAAGTTTATAAAAACTCAAAGACCGAATGATTAACGACAGGACCAAAATTCTGCAACATCATTAAAACATAGGTTCGAATCCTATTATTAGACAATCAATCTTTCAACATTATAAATTATTTTAAGTTAAGTGTGCCGTCTTCCAAAAAAATTAACGACCACAGCATCATAAACTTTTAAAAATGCGCTTTAACCACCCGATCATTACTAATTCTTCCAAAATTCCTCCCTCATATGAACAAGCAATATAAAATATATTCACAGATGTATGAAGTGAGAATATGAGGAGTTCAAGTGAATGTTTGAATCACTTCTTCCCCCCATCCAGCTAGACTTACTGTTTTATATGTAACGCCTATAATGAATGTCGAAATGACAATATTGAGTAGTGGAAGAAGAGCATTCATCATTTTGCTTTTGTCTTTTCTTTCTTCCATCTCCGCTTTATCCCACTTGTGAATGATGAAATTTACCTCATCTTGTGTCTACTTATTCCTTTACTTTCCTAGTCTTTATTTAACAAAGCCACTAAATAAACAATTTATGTTTTTCACTCTCATTCTCATTTCTTTATTTCTTATACACAAGAAAATTTTTTTTCCAGATAAATGTATATACATAAAGCAAGCATTTTACTACTCTTATTGCTACTGCTGCTGTTGCTTGTTGTTTGTATACATTTTGGTTTTTCATGAAATATTTAGAAGTGAGAAAAAGCGGTAAAGGAGTAAGACGAAGAAAATGTATGTTTTTTTTTTTCTTGACTATAATTTACGGTACCACAAGGATTTTTTATATACAACACGTGTATATATGTAAATATATATATTGCAATTTTCAAAGGTTTTTAACTTTCATGCCCTCGTAAAATTGTGTATTTTGTTACCTACCCAACACAAATTCTGTTGAATTTGTGGTATAGAAACTTTTTTCCCCTACATGCTATACCTTAAATATTACATGCAACTTTCTCAATTATTTATTCAACTTTTCTTATCTTTGGTGTGTTTTCATTTTAGGCACGATGCAATCGTGAGAAACCTCCATGCAAGTACTATCATCCACCACAGCACTTGAAGGATCAATTGCTGATAAATGGTCGTAATCATTTAGCATTAAAGAATGCTCTTATGCAACAAATGACCATACCACAGAACAGTCAGACAATTATTACAAATCAGATGCAGCCAATGGTAAGTTGAAGCTTAATTTGCTAGTTTACAGGAGGTTTGCCTGAGCTCTTGAACTTGATTCATATCTGAGGCCAAAATAATAATTTGTGAGCCTTATTTGAGGTATTTCCGATTTCTCCAGCACTTGGACGGTACGGTATGTGGTACACCTTGGATGGTACAGTCGGTAAACATATACCGTACCATATCGCACCATACCATACCATACCAGTAGCGGAGAAATCGAGCGCTGAAGCATAGACAAGTTAAACCTTCTCAATCCTACTCCCAAACTATCTGAAAATCCCAAACTTAACGAAAATTCCATTTTCTACAATTTCTTCCAGACTGCAAACGCATACATAGCTAGTGTACCTGCTAGTACTCCCTACAATCCATATTATGCTGCTCCAGGACAATTAGTACCTACAATAATTGGACCCGATCCATCAGCTCCACAAACAGCAGTTTCACAACAAATTGGCCCATGTGTTCCCCAAACAGTTCAGATTCCACAACAACATAAACTTCCACAACATACTGATAGAATTGAGGTGAGTTAATCAAGTATTAGTGAGCTCGAACATGAAGTCAATCAAAATTTTTGTGTGTGAATGGAATGAGTGAATTAATCCTTTAATTTATTCTTGTTTTGGGTTATTTTCGTTGATTAAATTACAAAATTACGAGCAGATTTATGCTTTTCGTAGCTATTCAGACGACAATTCACAGTTCTACATCCAATAAGCAATGTGTATTATTATAACATCTATGAGAGTTGTAAATATGAAAATTGATATTAACTAAATGAAACAACAATTTCTATTTCTGATACGATAGAGATTAAAATTGCTTCTAAACATTGTCACGTTTAGCTAATTAATTATTGGGGCCTTGACAACTAAAACAAGATGAAAATTATAATGCCATTTATAACTATTATTGTTGTTGCTTCTTGGTCTTTACTATTGGGTACAAATTTAACTTTAATTGGATTCTATGTACTTTTCATATTTGGTGTTTCATTAGTTTGGTGCTGATTATTATATTGTGTGTATGTGCAAATGACTGTTGGTGTGAGTTCTTCTTTATTGGGCAAATAGAGGAGTGTTGAATAAAATTTTTTATTTTTATTTTTGTGTTCGTTGAATGCTATTAGGCGTAAATGACTTGATATTGAATTAGTTTTGACATTTAACATTGTGTTCAGCTTTTTTTACATGGACTCGAAATTGATTTTTTTTTTTCTGTTGGGAATTGAATATTTTTTGGGGAGTAGGGCTGTGCGGATGTTGTGTAATGCTTGAAATTGTCATTTTGAATGTTTTCTTGTCTACTGAATTGGAAAAATCATGTTATTTGGTGCCATATATATCATACGTTTGAAGTACTTACACTATAAGTTAATTTAAGAAGCTGAAAGCTTGAAAAGCAACAAATATCAGAACCGAGATTTGAACCTAGGATAGCTAAGTGGCCTTTTTAAAATTCAATAACCGAAGCACTATACCAATAAGCTACCAAGCCATTATCAATCATTTCTTGCAAAAAACACTCTAAGAACATAGTCCTAGATAGTTAACACAGCAAACAGACATATCCTTTAAGCTATGTCTTGATCAGACTTCACTAGCATTTAACCATATTCAGGAACATCTCTTTGGAAAATCTCTCAATTTAATCAAATCTAAATTTAGTCTAAATGTCTACTCCAATGTACTATTATTATGATTCATATCTTTTACATAACTGGCATTTCCAATCTAGAATATTGTATTACATCCTAACCTATTTAAAGTAAATATCTTCAAACACAGAGCATCTCTACCAATATTCTAAATGCCTTAAAGTAACGTTCAAATATAAAACTTTATGTCTTTCTTTAATCAATGTTTATATTCATGCTGAGATAACATCTTCCGCTCTTATTTGCCAAACAATTCAAAACATTCATTACATTCTTTTGCATATATTGCATTAAAGCTTTACATTTCTTCTTCCTTATCCATCCACAAGATAGCTGCTTTAAACGGAGGATTGTTATAATAATCACAATGTGTAAAATGGTTGAGAGAATAATGATATTTTGTGCATCTGAAAAGTTTTATGCATGATGAACTAGTAGTGGAGTCCAGGAGATGTGGATTTAAAAAGCATTTACAAATTAAATCTGTAAACTTTCTGGGTTCGTCAATAGAAAATCATTTCAAATTTTGAAGATTTTTGTATGAAATTACATACTTCACAAGAGAATGTTTCTAGTTTTTCAAGATTTTTGTTTGAAATTATATACTTCACAAAAGAATGTTTCTAGTTTTTTAAGATTTGTGTATGAAATTACATACTTCACAAGAGAATGTTTCTAGTTTTTCAAGATTTTTGTTTGAAATTATATACTTCACAATAGAATGTTTCTAGTTTTTCAAGGTTTATGTTTGAAATTACATACTTCACAAGAGAATGTTTCTAGTTTTTCAAGATTTTTGTTTGAAATTATATACTTCACAATAGAATGTTTCTAGTTTTTCAAGGTTTATGTTTGAAATTACATACTTCACAAGAGAATGTTTCTAGTTTTTGAAGATTTTTGTACGAAATTACATGCTTCACAAGCGAATGCTTCTAGTAACTTTGAGACAATTAGAAGATTTTAGGCTAATACTAAATGAACATTAAGTAATAGCCAGACGGACGAACAGTTAAAAAGACATCAAAGACATTATCAAGCTCAAACTCTCCTCATTCTTGCTAATAAGTAAGAAAGATTCAAGAAAATTTGTTCTCATAATCCACAGTATTAGCAAACATGTTGTACCATTAAGTTGCAGAAGTTGCATAAAATTGTGGAATATTGTGTAAATCTAGAGTCAGTAGCAGCTCGTCAGGGGTATCATGAACCCAAAAAAAAGAACCATAAAATCAATATTAAATAAAAAACAAAATTCCTTCATATATATGCACACACGTCACATGGTAAAATGTGTATGCAGTTTCAATATAAAGCTTATAAATAAACTCGCAATGTTCTGCTCGACAAAAAAAGTCTTTTTTTTTGTGTGTGTATGGATGGAAAATGAGAGAAAGAAAATGTTGAATGTTAGTGAATGAAGCACAGTGCATGCACATTCGATAAGTATTGAATTGTCGGAATGTACAGAAAGGTTTTAAAATAAACGGGTAATTTCAAAAAATTGTATCACATTCAATCTATAGCTATATGTGAAGGAATAAAGAGTAAAATAAACAGAGATAGAAAATTGAGATAAATAACTGAAGAAAGAAAAAGGCAAAAATAGTGAATTTGTATATAGAGCTTGTTTTTAAACTCTATGGAACATCACAATGAGATTAATGCAAGTGTCAGTGAATGAAAAAGAGCGTATATGTACAAGCACATGTATGTATGTATGTATGTTGTATTGAATATGGTTTGATAGAGAGAAGGATAAACGATAATTTATTACATGGGATGCAAATTATAACATATCTACCGATCAATACTAATTATACGCATCGTTTCCGTTTAATGCATTCCTGAATATATGTATATGTATACATATTTATGCATATGTATGGCTGTGGCAATCATGCTAAACAATATAGTATAATGGATATTCATGACATTTAATGTAGGAATAATTCAAAAATCCTGATTCATGTGCTCATCAAACTTAATTTTTCAGCTATGTTAATGAACGACTAGTCAATTATGAATTTTCACTGCTATGAAAATATTTTTTTGATAATCGTTGGCTTTATTATGTTGTCGTAATGTGAGGGGTTGTATTCAGGAGAACGGAGGGGTAGTGGCTCATTTAGGAAAGTAGAGAGACATTGCTAGTTGCATTTTTGAAAGTAAAATTGAGATTTCAACCTGACCAGCCATCAGGAGAGTGTGTTTGGAGTAGAGTTTGATTTTAACAGCCTCTACGAATCCTTGCTGTTCCCTATTTCGAACCAGAAAGAAGTAGGAACTCAATATAGACATCTTCTCAATCTAATGTTTTCTAATTCACAAAACCAAAGCTGGACTCTATCAGGAGTTTAACTATGGAAGCTATAATAGCAGTGACACCAAGTCCTTGGCTTTGTAGTGAATTTCTAGATCCTTAATCATTGAAATTGCTTAATAATGCTACAATTTTTGATCGCCCCCCGAAAATTGGTATCCATTCAATATTAAACACCTGACATATGGCTTTTCATTCGTAAAATTCTCTATACACCCCCAAACAGCCCCCATGTAACGATAATTAAGTAATTATATCCCCCAAAAAATGTTCATAATAAATAAACTTAATAGTTTACAAAAAAAAAGATGATGTGAGGTAAAAAATCCGGATCCAAAAATTAATTACTATTAATTGCATCGATTATATCCTCCAATAATCATCTTTATCTCTTAAATAACTTTTCGATAAATTATCTTCGACAATATCGATTGAAAATGGAATTACAATTTACCCAAATCCTTTTAAATTGTTTGTCAATCGACATTTAAGAGCTCTTATTGAGACTGAATAATGCACAATGTTTTTAATAGTATAAAACAGAAGTGAATAATTGGAAAATAAAGAGACTGAAAAGTTTTCTTGTGTCTGTGAGTTTATTTACTTGACAGAACTATTATCTGATTATACTGTTGGGATTTTTCAATAATATTTATTTTCGGATTATTTGATTTAATTGCTAATTTTGCAATCAATTAATCACAAAAATTGGTGCTGTGATAAAACATTTATCTACGTGGATATATGCATGATTAACATAAATGAATGATGTTATTTTATATTTCATGTCAATTTAGATAGATGTTTTGGGGGTTTGTGTTGCAACAATGAGATATATTTTGATGATTTGCTGTCTCATAGAGAAAATAATTAACATTGATGAATCAAATTGATTGAAAATTCAAAGCTTGATTGAGGAAGCTTCTTAGAATAGATTATGTGTGCATAAATTAGTTTTGTTGGGTTTTGAGCTTTTGGAAGTAACATATGCATTAGGTAATTGGTGATTTAGTAAGGAGGTTTGGTCATTAAGTGTTTAACTATTAAAGAGTCTGTTTGGAGTAATTAATAAAGTGATTGGCTTGCATTTGTTGTTATAATTCGAAGATTTTTGGTTCGAATCCTACCGAATTGAAGAACATTTCCTACAAATCTAATAGTAACATCAAAGTTTGTTCATTTGTTCAGATCCTATTTGAGAAAAATCTGGGTTCGGTTCTTGACGTAAGTTCCTATAAAAACACTACTAGCGTACAATACTAGTACTAGGTTGTTACTAGGTTTGTTACTAAGTTGTGGTGCAAGGTTGCTCCCAAGTTAATTACTAGATTATATTCAAAGTAATTAAAACTTTACTGCAAAGACTCTCTTGTACTCCCAGAATTACCCCTTTGCTATACTCAATTCCACAACAAACCAAACAATGCAACCCAAAATAAAGTCAAAATTAATTCTCATCATTATTATTTTCCACCCTAGACGTAATTTTATCGTAATAATAAATTGAAGATTGTCGAACAAAAGTTTCACCAGGAAAGTATATAGAATGAGTGGGTTCTTGAATGAAGAGTTCATTGTCTCACGAACGAACGTTGCATCCTTCATTGTTTTTTTCTTTATAACTTGCAGTTTATTTATTTGCTTTCGAGGATGTCGCATTGCTGAAATATTTTTAAGATTGACTTCAATAACTTTAATTAAAATTAAGGAGCTTGAACTAATTTTAAACTTTAATTTTATTTTTACAGATGGATGTGAAGGCAATTGGTTCGATATATTATGAAAACTATGTAAGTTGATTTATATCCAAATTAATTTAATTAGTGCAGCACGTAAAGTTCAGTGCAACTGGAATGAACTAGGTGAAAAGGTGAAAATTTTGACCTTTTTTTGTGAGGTCAACTGAATTGTTATCACGTTTCACAATAAGCTGCTTCATTGTTCTTTCATTTTACATCCTTACATAATACAATATGACCAAATAATGAAAATGACTATAATAATGAAATATTTTGCAGTCTTATCCTGGTATGGTGTCTTACAACAAAAGGCCGGCAGGAGAAAAAACACCAACGACGGCAATTCAAGTGTATCCAGCGAATACAAGTAATTATCAGCAAGTTATGCACGTGCAACAGCCATTTGTACCCGTCTCATGTGAGTATGCTGTACCAACACCGATCACAATTCCAATATATCTACCTGAAAATTGTCATTAGTCTCTCATCTCTAGATCATAAATAATCCATACTATAAATTATATTCATACTCGATCTCTCTCTATCTATCTTATTCTCTCTCTTTATATTCTCCCGTTCTCAATTCTTTTATTTTAATCATACAGACATCTTTAAACTTCCAAGTGCACCGCTCGGGAAAGAGATGAATATTTCATCATGAAATTTGGAAAATGAAAACCCATAACATTCCTTTTCTCCTTATACTTGTTCTCCTTCTTCTACTTCTACTTCTTTCTCCGATTTTGCTAATACTACAAGCATTATAACTACTAATACAACTAATGCCGACTCTACTGATGCAAATTCTGCATAGTCTCGGTCGAATGAGTGAATAATATCACTTATCTTATTTCCTACTTTCTTGAATATCTAACATATAATTATTTTTGACTATTGGAAAATGAATATAATATTTTTAAAAAGAATGGATGATAATAAAGGTTGGGATATGTTCGCTAGTGACGTCCATTGATTGGAGTTCTTAGTACATCAACCTATACTAGAGAGGATTTCTTGGGAAGTAAAGAATATTTGTAGGGTGGCACGAAAATTAATTTGGAACTGAGATTTTAAATAGGTCAGTGCTTGTTAAACTTTTTTCGAAAATGACATAGTAAGTCACTTTTCTAGTGTCGATTCGGTGTGTCACTTTACATTTCTAATATGTCGCGAAGCATAGATCCGGAAGATCTGGTTCTTAACCATAGTTAAAGTGTCTCTGTTCAAAGTTTGAGCAGTTCTAGTGTAAGCACATGTCTGTGACACATAAGTATGTTCTGAACCATAGTTTAAGTGTCTCTGTTCAAAGTTTGAGCAGTTCTGATGTAAGCACATGCCTGTGACACATTAGTAGGTTCTGAACCACAGTTTAAGTGTCTCTGTTAAAAATTTGAGCAGTTCTGGTGTAAACACATGTTTGTGACACAATAGTATGTTCTGAACCATAGTTTAAGTGTCTCTGTTCAAAGTTTGAGCAGTTCTGGTTTAAGCACATGTTTGTGACACATTAGTATGTTCTGAAACATAGATTAAGTTTCTCTGTTAAAAATTTGAGCAGTTCTGATGTAAGCACATGTCTGTGACACATTAGTATGTTCTGAACCATAGTTTAAGTGTCTCTGTTCAAAGTTTGAGCAGTTCTGGTGTAACCAGAGGTTCTGATAAAACATTAGAGCACATTAGAACACAGTTTGAGAACCACTGCATAATAGTAAAGTACATCATAGTTTTAATCGCCGTCTCTCTCTGGTGTGAGCATTAGCATACATTTTTTCGAACACTATTGAGGTAGCGATATCACGAGAGTCTCAACTGCAAACCTCATTTTAGAACACCTAACCCCCACCACACCCCCATCTCACTTAATCTCCATATTAATAGTAAATGTACCCCTTACTTTGAGGGTCTCTGTCCTCTCCATCCCAGAAAAATCAAGCGTCATTAGCGAACAACCCAACCACTAGAAGTAGATGAAGAATAAATTGAGAATGTTGATGGAAAGATGAAAAATGAAAGAATAATTTTAATTTAAAACTTTTTTTTGTAAGAATAAAAAAAAAGTTCATAGATAAAAAATGATTGATATTTTTTTAATGGCATAAAGCGAGAACAGAATTGATATATTAAAGGAATAAATTCTTTTTTTTCTGTGAGAGCAAGTGATGAAAACACCAAAAACAAAAAAAAAAGATTGGGAATGGATTTTTGTGAGATTAAGAATAAATAAATATAAAAAAATAAATAAAATTGACAAATTTATATATTCCTTTTTTACCTTTGTGAAGCTAGCTCGAATTTTGATTTCTCGTTTCGTTAATATTTTGACTGAAGATTTTTCAAAATCATCAACTTTATCAAATGAAAAGGCTAAGGTGCACAGCAAGATGATAAAGTGATTGACATAAACATGGGAAAATTTTTATTAATATTTATTAGAATTTTAGGCTCAAAGCCTCATAACATTTAAGAAACTTTTAAAGTATAAGAAAAAAAAAAATCACATTGCTTCCAGCGCTTTGCGGGGAAGTGAAACTTGTAGGTCGATTTAGTAGAAAAAAAAATATATATGTGTTGATATTAGTCAAGACATAACATGAGAATCTAGGTTTGAGGAATCTATTTGACTGCTTTGATGGATTATTGGATTGACTTTCATTTCTAGAGTGCCCTGAAACTAATGAAATTTGCTTTTTATCATGCTACTATTGCTATAACATTCCAAAATTCCAAGTTTTATCCCTAATTCCTACCCTAATCAGCTTTTGAAATCCAAAATTTTTATTTACCTTCTTTATTAATACAACTTTTTGTTCTTATTTCTTCCCGTTCCTTAGGCTCTATTCTACATTCACAATATTCACCTCACTTTCTTCCCAATACTGTTCCTACTTGTTTCTATTATGAATAGAGCATTCCTTCAGATGTAACTTAATGTATAAAGATGGAAGAATCAAGTATAGGCCGACCAGATATTTTGCAGTCTAGTTATTAAGGATTTAATCCAATTTTTAAATAAGTTTTTTTTTGAATCAGAGGCTTTGGTCTCGGTAGGATGTACCTTAAAGAATCGATAATCAAGAGTTTAGGTAAACTCTTGAATACATCTAGTCAGTCTGATTCTGTAAAATAATTTGATTTATTAAGATATGAAATTTTGTGCGGATAAAAAGATTAGTAACTTACATGCTATTGCGTGGAAGTTTGGACAGGGTTGGGACTTAAAGTCTCAAAAAAATGTAATTTTCTTATTGGGGATGCTCTTATCTATAAAGAGCTTGGTATGTACTTGATAAACTTTCGAATTATGATGCTCAGATCTTGATCAAAAGTGCGGATCTATTCAAACTGACTTGTGATCAATTATGGTCATTTGTGATCAGTTTTTGGTCATTTGTGATCAAATTTGATCATTTGTGATCAGTTTTTGTTCATTTGTGATCGGTTTAGGGTCATTTGTGATCAGTTTAGTTCATTTGTGATCAGTTTAGGGTCATTTGTGATCAGTTTAGTTCATTTGTGATCAGGTTTGGTCATTTCGATTATTACTGCATCCCCGATTTAGATGCTGAGCTTATTAAATCGAAAAGTTATTAAGCATGGACCCATATCTTTGTAGATTAGGGTTGTGTATTTAAAATTTTAAAATCGGAAAAATTGAGGATTTTTGAACGAAATTTTGATACTTTTTGAAGACATTCTTCTTAGAACTAGAGTTGCTTCGTTAATTGAAGCTAAAAATCAAGTGTAGCCCATCTAACTTGGAAGGAATTAAAAATTAGACAAAATTCTATAAAATCATCAGCATAATTAACTTTTTTGACAGATCTAATCTTCAACATCCATCCATAGCTATCAATCCATCCATAAACAGCCATTTTCAGTCATTTTTAGAATCATCAAAAATTCCTCAGCCTAGGCATCAAAAAAATAATAAGAAAAAAAAATCTTCAGCTAAAGATATTGAATTCGCTTCCAAGATTCGAGTTAGCTTCATCAAAAGCTCCTTTTTGTCGCTAATTGAATGCGATTAAAGTTTATATACACAAGAAAAATAAAAATAAGAAAATGACACACATACATATAAATATATATTTAATACTAATAATGATGAAAATGATATCAACGAATTCACTTTAATGAATTAAAAAAAATATGAGAAAAACACACTCACACACACAAACACAATTTAAATAAATAAAAAAAAAATCTTTTTTAGTAAAGGATGATTAAAGTTTTTCAGAGCTCATTTATGAATCACGATATAAAAAAATTCCCTTTTAATATCATTATTAATTCTCTTTTGATAAATTTTAAAAAATTAAGTATTAAAATTTTTTTTTGTATCTCTTTGAGAGTTTATAGGGAGATAAGTAGAAAGTAGAGAAGAAAAATTTTGTGCAATAATCAAAAAAGAAAAAAATTGGCAAAAAAAGTTGAATTTCTTTATTGTAAATTTTTTTAGTCAATAAGGAAATTTTTCAATTATTAAAGAATCGTGTTTAAATCGATTCAATTAAATTAAATTTTTTTTAGGTTATTTTTCGTCTAATTTGTTAAAATACGTTAAACTATTATCTAAAATTAATCAAAATTTCTTATTGTAAGTTGTGTGAAAAGTAAAATTAATGAAAAATTCAACGTAAGGTTTAGTTAAAATAATTGTTGGATAACTTTTTCGATTGGATGAACCTGATTATTGCCAATTTTTGAGTTGATAAATTCTAGTCAAGCGATCCTTGATTTAATAAAGGGTCGGAAATGAAAATCAAAGAAGTCTAGGTCAAATTTGTTTGATATTATTAGTTTCTGATTTCTCTAGTCCATTGAACCGATTAATTTTTTATTGATCTGAGGCAAGTTTATGTAGAAGAAGTCGAGAAGATTAAAAATTGATGAATTTGGTTGAGAATCGGAAGTTTAGTTTACCTTAAGTTTTTAAAAACAAGTTAAAACTTATATAAATACTCCTCGAAGCTTCCTGACTTCCTGCCACAATATAAGTTCCTTAAAAAATTGACAGCTGAATTTATGAACTTTTTAAAATCAGGAATTAAAGGTTATCTCAAAGTTTTACATGTTTTTCGAAAGAATTAAATATTTATGGCTCAATAAATTCTGTTGTTTTGAAGATCATCGCATAACTTTCCATTAAAATTTGAAATGTGTTCATAAAAAAAAGTTTTTTATGTTATTCGATTTTATTAAAATCAACAGAATTTTATTGGAGTCGTAGATAAGCTTAAGAGTTGTTCTTAATCGAGAATCTAAAATTAGTGGTTATCAAACTTTATGCTACGGCACACTGGTGTGATATTGCGATTCTATACTTTGTCTCTTACTAATCTAGATACTTAGGTTGACAATGAAGCAGTGGTGTCCAACCTTTTTTGTACCACGGCACACATTGGTGATAAGCCATGACCTAATCTCGGCAAACGGTTCGTAGAATTTTTTAATTTTATTCACTAGTGTCCAGCGGAACATGGGTTGGACATCACTTCACTAGGAGTCAGTTGCTAGGCTTTTTGAATATGACATAGACAGTCTTAATTTAAAATCTAAGATTTAACAACCTATTAAATCGTAGAAGTTGTCTAGATGGATGTTGAGGGTTGATAAGGGGTGGGAAAAAACCCTGTTTAACCCCCCTTGAAGTTGTTGTTCCTAAAAATCAATAATAAATTGAATATTCAATAACTTTCAACCATTTTATTGACAAATTTTGTAATAATTCATGAAACATCATCCATAGCCAACCCTACGAGTTATGTTTTTAAGGATGAGTGAGAGCTAAGAACCAGAAAAAGTATTGGAGACAATTTTTATTACCATGTCGTTTGGGAATGTGAACTAGGCTTATAATTTTTTTAAGAAACCTCTGATGAACTTCTGAAGATAACACAATTAAAAGGTTTTAAATGTTTTTTTGAAAAAAATCTTTGATAAGAGCCTGCTAAATTTCAGAGAATCCCTAACTTAACCTCAAAATCTTTATGAAAAAATTTAAAAAAAGAAAAAGAAAGTTTTTATCACTGTTCTTGTTGGTTTAAATTGAATTTGCTAGTTAAGTTGGCTAGTTCTAGCTACTTAAGTTGCATATGATAGTCTGATTGGCTCCATAATGTCGCCGTTATTGTGAAATTCAACAACAAAAACTTCCAATTAAGTGATTAAATGCCAATAATTCAATTTCATGTCACTATGTCGGGTCAGAATCACAAACAATTGAACAATCAAATTCCATTTTTAACCACAAAAATCCATAATTAAGTAAAACTTTTATGAAATTTTAAAAATTTCGTAACTCGATATCACAAAAAAAAAAACAAAAACACATTAATGATAATTATAATGATAAATAAATATATTTATTAAAATTAATGAATTGGAATTGGAACAAAAAAGAATATTTAACAGGTGCGACTGTTGCACTCAAAAAATGAGAAATATCATGACAAATTGAATCATATTTGAATTGAGATTTAAAATTGACAAATTGATAAAATGTCGGTGAGCTCTGAGAGATTATACTCATCCTGGTAATGAATAAAATAATATTTACCTATTTATATAATGTAAATAATTAAATAAGAATGAAAGGAAAAAAAATCTTCAAAATGAATAAAAAAAAATTAGAATTTAAATGAGATAAAAAAAAATATTTGTTGGTCTAGTCTTTCAATGATCTTAAAAAATATTATTTTGATGAAATATTAAAAATGAAAAAAAAAACATTTATAAATATAAGAAAAAAATGATGATACACACTATAAGAATTCTCTAACCCTAGAAATTTCATTTAATTCCTTTTAAGAAAAGTAAAGTGAAAAAAAGAAGATAAAAAAAGATGGAAAGAAGAAAAGTAACTTGAAAAACAAGCACATTCAGTCTGTTTTATATTAAAGACTTTAAGTAAATAAAATTAAATGAGAAAAGAGAAAAATATAATGAATTTTTACTTGTAGATGTTGTCTATAAATGATGTCTGTTTAAAAATTATATTTTCAGGTAACCCTTACTTAAAATAGATTCGTCTGGAATGTTTGATAGACTTAGACCCTCCTATGGTCTTCATCAGCTCTCCTCGGCCCTACTTAGCTTCATTCATGTTCTTTCAAACTCTTTCAACTTAGTTCAGTTCCTCTTAATCTCTAATAACTTCTATTAGGTCCTCTTCAGCCCTTACTATCCTTCCTTACACTCTTCAGCAACACGTATGCCAAAAATGCTCATCTCAACCTCTCACAGTCACTTTTAGCTAACTTTAGCTTATCCCAGCTCACTCTAACCCCTGACTTCACTCCTCAGAACATTTTATGCCAAAGAACTCTTTCTGAGCCCCCCTCTGAGCATTTCTTGCATTCTCCTGCTCTCATAAGCTTTGATCAGTTTTCCTCATTCCTCCTACATTCCATTTAGCTTTGCTTAGTCTTCCTCTGCTCGTTTGAATTATTTCTGTCTCAATCAACATCCCTTTGGCTCTCTTAGCCTAGCTTAGCCATGCCTCATCAGTCTCCATATGCGACGCTCAGCCCTACTCAATTCCCTTCTGGTTTTTGCAGCCAGTTTTAGCCTTAATCAGCTTTTTCATCCTTTCTTGACTTTATTCAGCTCCCCTCAACAACACCCGTCTCATCTTCATCTTCTAATCTCCCTTTAGCCTCACAAACATCAGACAGCACATGCAAATAACCCCCCTTAAATTGAAATACTAAAAATTTCCTTCCAGTCTGCATCGCAAATATTTAAATCCAACGATAAATAATCATTACGATACATTTCCTTAAAATCTCCCAATCCATAAATTTTGGCAAACCGAAATTCACTTGAGGCGAACGGTTCCGGTCCACAAATTTCATTTCTTCTCTCACTGGGATTCTCGTCTGTAATTACAGTTATGTTGAGATGAGTTTCAGATGCTTCAAACTTTAACTCCACCCCATCTACAATGCTCTGCTTTCCTCGAGCATAACATGTGAAGTTTTCGGTACACGAGAGAGCAACGATGAGGAGATATGGCTGTAATCTTGCTTCCTGTGCCGACACTGATTCATGTGCGAGATTAAGTGCAATAATGTGACCTGCACGAATGAAGATTGGAATGTCATGCATAACGATTGAAAAGTGAGTTGAGTTTTGTGGCATTTCTAAGCCTGACCACATTTCGTAATACTTTTCAGGAAAATAGAGATTGACTTGAACGGTAAGTGGTTCCATTACAGGTGCAATCATAAGTGAGTCACCGAACATCAACTGATGGTTTGAGATTAATTCAATCTCGTCAGCATTATCGTCATCAATGAGAATTTCTGGATAGACATATCTCAATGGTCTCAATAAAGGTATTTCCATTAACATGCACGTCCTCATATAATTTAGTAATGCATATCTCGTACGAATTGCAAGAACCATAATTCGTTGAGCATATTTTGTAAATTTTGTTGGAACTCGATCGGAATTAACATAAAAGAGTGGCATGAAAGTGGCAAATTGATACCATCGTATGCACAATTCTTCTGCAATATTGTCAATATTATTATTATCATCATCAATATTGCTGCCATGACCCCAACCCCCACTGCCACATACTTCAGCACCATAGAATGACATTCCAATTAAAGAATAGAATACTGATTTATTGATAGTTGACTGAAAATTTGTCCAACTTGCTTTCTTAACTCTCATCAGCATTCCACACCATTCATTCGATGTTTCTCGATATGAGTCTGCAATGCAAAACTTTTTACCATCATCATTTAAAGTTTGTTGGAAAACTTCAATCTGCTCTCGTCCATAGTTATTTAATTGATGGATTAAAGGTTCTCCGTTCTCAAGTTTAACATTTAATGGAATCAAGTTTTCAATTTCAGTCTCGAAATTTTTTGGCTTGAATGTGAAATCGTCAATGCTCGGTGGCTTCTTGTTAACTGTATTATAGAATGGAAAATTTTTAAAGAGAAAAATGCCATTTGATAATTTAAAGACATCAAATTGATGCTGTTGCTTTTGAGACATGAGTATTTCAGCAATTTTCGATGATTTCGTGATGTAATCAAGGTACAAAACTTTTTTATTTTCACCATATAAACCAATAAAATTAGTTGTTCCATCGACATCCTTAAGAAATAATTCGTCGCTCTTGAACGCTTCATGTCGTTGTTGCTGTTCTGTCTCATCATTCGTTATCACCTCAATTGCGTTCAAACTCATGTGAATGAGGATCTTTTTATTCTTTTGCTTCAGCTCTTCAATCTCATCTCGATAGATGTTTGAAATAATGTCTGTATTATTTTGAGACATAAGGAGTGCCGTTAGTTCACTATCGATACAATGACTGTCAAATGGAATTATCTTTGAATTGATTAGCAATTGACTCAATTCAATTTTCGTACTAGCTTCATTGTATTGTAGATTTGTGTGACAATAATGCACGCCAAAGGACCAGAAATCATCTGGATAGTAGGATTTTTTTACAAAGGATTTTATTTGCTTGTAGACGTCAGCGTATGCTGGACCAGTGAACAATTTCATTCTGAATGATGCACTGTAATATTGTTTTATGATGATTGTATTTGATTTTAGTATTTGAATCTCCGTTGGACTATCAATTGACTCAAAATGTAATCCATGGTAGTGTTTGGTCTTTGTGTCTGGAAATGGAAATAATGGATTGTGTTGAAATATTTTAGAAGCGCATTTTTGATTGAAAAAAATTATTACACCAGCTAGTTCATATTGTTCATACATTTTGTGAAATTTTTGGAAAATAGATTAGGATTCGAACCCACAATGCTAGAGTCTAAAGTCTTCAATTCTTCTTCTTAGTGTGCTTGCTTACCCACTGAGGTTATTCAAAGACAATTATCATATTGCAGTTGATGATTAAGTATCAATTAAGGTTTTAGGAATTTTAAATTTGTGTCATGCATATCCAGTACAACAGAAGGTGTGGATTAATTATATTTCTTGTACTTTTTGTTTTGAAAAACAAGTTGAATCTGTGGGATTTCTGGGACATTGAGACAGTTTGAAGCTACTGGTACCTTCTACTAAGCGCTTCAAGCTTCATGTCCCAAAAACAGTTCAATGAACTTTTAGAAATTAAGCCATTCCAAACCTCTTATCGTAAAAAAAAATTCTACACTACGACAGATATAAATTTGGTAGAGCATTAACTCTCATAAATGCACTGCCTAGTCCCAAAAAAATATTCCTGAACATTCAGACTCAAGTGCAACAATGATTGCATCATATCCATTACAATAGCATGAAAATCTACTTCAATTGAGCATATATATCAACATAACGAAATAAAAAACAATACGTACATACCATACGCTACGACATATGGAATGACAGATGAATGAACATTGTTGATTAAAATCCGATGACCCTCTTTCAAATCTGTTGTATCGAAGCCCATCAATTGTAAATCGTTGCTTCCTAAAAATACACTCCACTCGAAGTAATTCTCACTAACGATCAATGCACCACGCGTTGTACTAAAAATTGTTTCATTATTTATCTTCCTTTTTACTTCAATAAATAACTCGGGCGAAAATACTTTCCAGCTATAATTTGAATTATTTTTAAAGCTTTTCAGACTCTTTGTGACATTGTACGACATAAGAGATGGATTCCACAGCATAATTGATAAAACCTCATCACTTTCTTCGACTATATCTAATTTCATTGACTCGTACATAACAGTCTTTAATGGAGAGACTTCCTTTGTTGGCACAAATACTTCGTCTATGCTCCAAGGACGTTCTGATTTCAATTTCAATTGATACTTTGATGGAAGGAAATGATAGCATCCGGTATTGCTGGAAAAGCAGCATGCACTTGCTTTACATTCCAATTCGGTGATATTCTATGCACAGAAAAAAAAATTAAAAATAAACAATTGGATTATATCCAGCGTGCAGCATATTGTAGAATATTTTATTTATGCATGCATGTTCATATAGAGTTTGAGTAAATTTTTTTTTCAGTTGAATTCAGCTGAAAGTATTTTTGCAGATTGTTAAAAATTGTATCAGTTCTAGAAAAAAAAAGAGTATATATGTTTGTATGTATGGATGGCAATAATCGTTCACTGTTTTTTCAATTGTGTATTATAGCCATTCAACAAATTACGAATGCAACATAATTGAAGTATTATCGTCTTTTATGCATGCAATAATCTTATGGATGTAAATAAAAAAAGCTATTGTGGATGGTGTTTTAAATTTTTTTGGAGTAGATTTGAGAGGAATTAATTGATGATAATGCGGTTAATTAACAGAAAGATTATTGAGCTTTGTAAACCAAGCTCTATTGTTTTTTTTAAAGCATGTACATTGATCTACCTGGAGCGTAGACAGGAATTTGAAGAGGGGACAAAAAAAATTTTTATTTAGAAAATTTAGGGGGGGGGGGGGGGGTTGATGCTTTATTTTTAAGGATTTTTTTTATAAAAACCTTAACAGAATGAAGAAATTTCTGTTAACGAAGGAGAATTTGTCACCCAAATCCCCCATTCCATATACCCCCCCCCCCTTCCTCCCCTGTTTACGCGACCCCTCTATAGCATGGCCTACATAAAAATGTTTGTTGAACTACGTGGTTTAGAAGCTAATGTAATGCTGAATTGGAAACATTTTTATGGTCATAAGTTCGATTCTCATTAAAAAGGGTTAAATCTTTTACCAGGGCTTGATTTCTAGATCTACCTTGGGCACTCTATTTTAGTCTCAGAATAAATAATTTAATTTATATCCCAAATTGTAGACCCCGGGTGGATCTCGAAACCAGATCCTGAAGCAGTACAGCAAAAATGCCAAGACACTGCTAAGAATCTTAATTAATGACATGATCTCACAGGAAATTGAGAGTTTCCAGTAAGCACAGTAATGGCTGTAAGCCAAAAATAAAATTTATTTCAATTTGCTGATCGAATAGATTTTCTTGATACCAATTTAGAAGTACAGGTTCAGAAAAGTGGACAATTCTGTGTCAGCGCTTATTTAGACCAGTATTCGTTATCGAATATCCACAATGGCATAGTAAGTGGGGAAACCACAGCTTTGAAACAAAAAGCCTTTAGCTTTGGACTAGGAGATTAAATATCAACTGACACAAAAGCTTCCAAGCCACTGATTAAGATGACTTTTACCAAAAACAGCCAAAAACAGCCAAAAACCTTCAAAATTTCACCGATAATAAAGTTTCCATACCTCGTCATTCCCGCAAGGAATTTGATAGCTGTAAGGATGTGAGCAAATGCCGGAATCATCGATTTTAAATTCAGCTACATCAGTATAATAAAAATATAAGTAATCGAGCAGAGGAACTAGCATGCAAAATATTCCAAGTGCAAGAAGAATTCGAAAAGTTCGATTTAGTAAGATGATGTGAATTATTGATGGTTCTGCAAAAAAAAAGAACGATTTCAAATCGTTTTGAATGAGAAAATAAAATATTGTATGTAAGGAAAAAATTGAAAAGCGGGGATGTGGATTGAAATTTATGTAATAAAATAAATCAGTGAGAAGATTTTGAAATATTTGAATCTTGAATCAATTCAATTATTCTTGCGTACTTACTTGACATATTCCTTGGTATATGGAACTCATTTTTTACAGCTTTTACATTCATATTGACGTATCAACTTATTATTTTACTATTTCCACATTTATTTGAAAATTGAATTTTTCAGAAACCACAAAAATTGAGGTTGCTATTCACAAGAACTAATGACGGTAAAAAATGTTTGAAACTTTAAACAATTTGCTCGACTGTGTGAGCTGTTGTGAAGATATCTTTTCAAAACAACCGAAAAATGCCTCAATTTTATCATTCCATTGTACAACATAACAACATCTAGATAAGATAGTGTCGGAGCATTAAAAATTGAAATTTTGTTGAAAATGTTTTGATTTTTTTAAGTAGTTATAGTTATGGCTGGTAGCTGAAAAGGGCTGTAGGATAATTGGTCTATCCAATGGGTGGGCATTTAAAAAATTAAATTAAAAAAAAAAATAATAAAACGGAAAAAAACGAAAAGTTATAATTCAAATTTTTTTAAATAATAATAAAATTTTAAAATTTTCAATTTTAAAAATCAATAAAATTCCAAATAAAAATTTAAAGAATTCCAAAAATTCAAGTTCCATTCCCCTCGCACCCATTCAAAAATATTAAATTTTCATGAATAATCAAAACAAGCCTGAACATTTGTAAGGCCTCTCTTTTCTCCGAGTTTTATATTAAAAGCTTATAACATTCTTATCCGAGGATATATTTTTGTTTATTCAGAAAACAACCTATAGCAAAACTCAAACGATAATCTGAAAAGTTTGTTGAGCATTTTCCGTCTTCGAGTTAATATCATGTGCAATTTCTGTGGCTGAAAAATAAATAAAGCCTTTAATTTATTTAATTGAAACCAAAAATAAAGTTTTTGTTATCTTTTTTGAAAGTTTTCAATATTTTTATTTTTTTCCTTCGTCTCTTTTTTTTCCTTGTTTTCTTAATAAGAAAATCAGTTATTATAACAAATAATTTTTATGATATAATTTATTAAATTACATAAGTTTAAGTTAAAGTCATTTTAAGACTGGAACTAGATATTTAAGAATAAAAATTTAATTAATTTTTTTTTGTATATAAAATGTAAATAATTTTTACTTATTTCATGATTTCCTTCATAATTTCTTATTCTTTCTTTATAAACAATTTTTCTTTTTGAATTTTTTTTTGTGTCACATGGAGTCAGTTCCTTTTTCAATCATTGATGATAGTTTAAGGGAGGCTATGGATCACAATTGATCTGTAAAGCCAGCGATGTATGTATGTATGTATGTATGATGATAGTTTTGATGCAAACTTAGTAAGTTTTTAAATATAATTTCAAGATCTTATAACGAAATCAGCTTGAAAATCAACCATCTAGACGAGACAAAATTGCTTTAGATCTTGCCTGATCATCTGTTTGGTTTTTTAAAGGACAGTCCTCTATTTTTTTCATTTTTCACGTAGACACGTGGGATGTCCTCTATTTTTCAAAAAATATCTGGTCACCCTACTTAAAGCTGTTCTATCTCACACAAGTTGATATTCTTTAATTCCATCCCCCAAAGACTAAGATTCCTTGAACTCTCATTCCTACTACCGACAAAGCTATCAGCAGAGCTGCTTACAGGTTGATTACAATTTTGTCATTTGTATTTGTTAAAGCAAACACTTTTTGCTTACATTTTGATCATCATGGACAAATTAGACCTCATATAAATTCATTGGAATAAAATATTCAGTAAGCAAACGAAATAAAATTAATGGAAGTGCTCAGTGGTAAACAGAGGTGTGTTTTGACGTTTAGAATGGAATTTTGTTACTAGTTGAGGAGTAAGAAGATTGATTTCAAGTTTTGGTTTCTAATTGGAAAATTTTAGAGACATTTGAATTCTAAAGTGCTGATATTTTCTTATTAAAGATGTCAATTAGAGTCTTGGAAACTTTATAGCATGTATCTCAGCATAACACGACTCTTTCTAAAACAAACTTATTTTCCTTCATTTTTAAATCAGGTCAACGACTTCCCTCAACTCAAAACTTTTAGTCCAAAATCATCAAACTTAAAAAACTCTATCTCCATATATTCTTCAAATAACAAGAGATGCAAGGTTAAATTGTGACATAAAATATGGAAAATGAAAAGGGAAACTTTATCAAAAAAAATGATATGCCACATTTTTTACGGTCTACTAGAGATTCTCATACAAAATTCATCTTTTTATTCATCATTTTTGCTTCAAAGTGTGTAGATTTATGAGTGAATTAAAGATTGAATGACAACAAGGTTCTAAGTGACGGAGCACATTAACCTTGTTTGTTGTAAGGGCATGGTAAGGTTAGGGTTAGATTTGTCAAGTAAATGTAGTTTCTTGACTTGTAGTATAGTTTGGATGCTAGTGGGAATTTGTAAAAGGTTTTAACTTTTCTTATTATCTTAACAAGTCGCCCAATCGGCAGATATTGATATGTTCCAATTGCCCATTCCCAATTGACTGCCGATTGGTTCTAATTATACAATCAACCAAGCTGTCGGGTGGCAAACATTTCAATCAATTTCAATATATGCCGATCGGGTCGACTTTCTAGGGATTTGAACTCATGACTGCTCTGTCAGCATTGCAGAATTATTCCACTGTCACAGATTCAACCAACTCGACTATTGACCCACTTTAGCTCACAAAAATATTTTCAACAAAAAAACACATTTATTCAACTTTAATCCCTGTCAAAAATCGAAAACCATCGGAATCTGCCAGAAAATTTTAAATATTTTACAGCCTCACCTCATAATTAACACATGAAAAAATTTCACATCACCGTAATAATCATGTCTTTAATTAACACAGAATCAGGTGACTTTATGAAGGATAAAAAAAAAACCTGAAAATTCTTTTGTTATCACTTCTTCACTCCCCATTGTGCATTTTTCACAGGAACAACAAAAAAAAATATGCAAAAGCATGAAAATCACTTTCAATTGAATTGTTGATTGTGACCGAATTTCATTAACCTCAGCAATTTTCGTTGTTAAAAAGTTTTTTGTGCTGTCGATGTCTCCATTATTTTTATTTTTCCACACTTTTAAAATAGTGGAAATGAATTAACATAAAATAATTGAGGAAAATTTCGATACTCGATATAGGGTTGTTCCTTTATGAGGTCTGGCTAGGAGTTTTCAGACCACTTGCTAGTTATTTTTTATGTTTCTCAAAGTACACAACCCCCCCCCCCCCCCGTCCTCCCCCTCCACCTTTCTTCCAAATGAAAAACAATATATCGATTGAAAGAGGAACCGAGTTGCTGTGAGCCTACTGATAGATAATTAAGTGATATTACAAATAAAATGAGAACACTATTTGCTTAAATTTGATTTCTTTTCTTATCTTAATTGTGAAATATTTTTTTTATCGTACTCTATTTTTTTTTATTTCTTAATTTTTTGCACGTTTCAAACTTGAATAAATTTTTAGGAATGCTCATGATTCTATCAATATAAATTGTCAACAGTCTGATGTTTACTTTTTCTTATCTTATCAATTTTTTTTTATTTTTTTTTCTCCTTAATTACAAATTGAATTTTATCATTATTATTTTTTTTATTTCATAAAAGTAAAATGATTTGAGTGAAATTAGATATCGAAACAAATTATTTACATGTTCGTGCTTATGGTTAAATTTTTGAAATTAAACTTGATCGATTAAACATAGGGACAAATTTTTTAACAAATTATTTTCAACTCTTTTTTTATTTCATCATTTTTTATGTGTCTGTGTAATGTCGCACCGCGTTTAATAAAACTTTTTCTTTATAATAATTTCATAATTTTTTTTGTTTTATTGTAAGGTTTTTTTTAGACTTCATAATCTATTATCTTCGTTGGTGTCAGGTTTGGTAGACAAATAGTCGAAATTTTTGATAATTAAAATGCTAGTTTAAATAAATTGATTGTTTTGTGAAATTTACAATACGCTCGATAGCAAGGATGATGAGCAAATGAAGAAATATTCTAGGATGAGGCCTGGTATGAGTTCGAGTCCTATTCTATTCTCAAACTCACTATTAGAAGCTATTATTAAATGTTTTCGTTGTTTAGCGATACTAATCAATCAATTAACTTAAAACTTAATGTAAGCTAGGCTCACCTGAGCTGCATTAAGGATATATTGACTAGATAGCAACATAGTCTTGCTCTATCAATAGCTTATTACTTCCATGTAAGTTCTTTGTAGCTTCCACTTTCAACAAGACAACTTGACATTAATAGCTATTATTTGGATGGATGAACTTAGTTTCAGAGCAACACAGCACTACTAACTTATCAATTAGAAATCCTATGCTATTCAGGCTAGTCAGATAAATGATAGACAGTCACCATTGTCAGGAGCGAATGCAATCTATCAAAATCATACTCAATGTTTAAAAACTTAAAATTTCTGCAAATCTAACCTTTAAAAAAAATCTTGACTTTAAGCAACAAAAACAAAATATCACGACTATTTGACCAGCTTGACTACTGGTATGTAGTATGTGTGTTTTTTTATGCAAGTGATTTTATTATCATTTATTATTGCAGAACTTTTTTTTCACGTCATATTTTGTTTTAATTCTGTCTCTCACTTAATAACCACCTACCTTATATTATGTACAATACAATACTCATATATTGTATTTAAAAAACCTTCGTTTCCGGTCTGCGTGTTAATGTGTTAACCATATGAGAACTTTTTTTTTATTTCCACTTCATTTTAATATTTTTCAGTTTTTTTTTATTTCTGCATAAAAAAAAATTATTTTGCTTGCCGATGTGCTTATGAATAAACACATCTACAATAAGTGGAAGTGAGAGATGCAATTTTTATACCATTCGTCCATTTCAATATAATGTTTTAATAGACCAATGTATTTTAATTAATTTTTAATTTTATTGTTTTAAATTGTTAATAATTTTTTTTGAATATAATTTTTTATTGCCACCGTAATCTGATGACTGTTTCGTCGCTTTTTATTTCCCATTTTCATTTCCAATACAACGATTGGAACCACATCCTATATTCATCCATATCATATGTATAATTTTTTAAAATATTTTTTTTTTATAGAATGTGTTGCCTATCAATATCAATTCACTCTTTGCATTGCAAATGAAATTACAAATATGAATTAATTTATTAGTTTTTTGGGGCTGTTCATAAGTGATGAATAATCATTGTCCTCGGACTTTTCGACTCTACTATTTCTGGTTCCTGGGTACATTAGGGTTAAACCTGTTCATCGTCTCTAGTATGGCTGGATACCTTAAAGTACAACCTAGTCATTGTCACTAGTATACCAATTGTACATCCTAGACTACACCTAAGAAACCAGCTACTTTAACACACTTCCACTCTTAAATGATAAACATCACTTATGAACGACCCCAAATTAATCATTATTAATAATTATTCCATGAAATTGCACCCATCTTCGATAATTTATATTGCAACACTACCTAGTCATTCATTCTGTCAAACATCAACTCATTCATCGTCCTTTTACTTCCCTTGAAGTTGAAAATCTTGTAGTTTATAAATATCTGTATAGGCAAACGAGAAAGCAAAAATTAAATTCCGAACAAATTGTTTAATCATCATTATTACTCACATGAGATGGGTACAAATGGCTGTTGCATATGCATAAGTTGTTGATAATTTGTTGCACTAGGTTGGTAAATTGGAATGCCTGATTTGTCTGCTGCGGTCCTTTTATAAGGCACCATGCCAGGAATCTGTTAATAAAACATTAATTAGTAACTCATTAGTCCATTGTGCCTGCACATGTATGTGGGGTAATTAAACACGAGAGCATGCAATTTTCACTCAACCGAGATTGTAATCGAAAAGGTGTATGGCGTTTAAATTTGGATATAGTACAGAGAAAAATACTTCAGCTGAGCACTTGATGAATATTATAGCACAAATAGCTTCTAGTATTTTTGAGATTTGCTCGAAGTGTGTACATTAGATTTAGAGTATTTTTTGAACAAGCAATGTTGATAAACCCTCAGAAACTTTTGTTTGAGGTTAGGTTAGCACATGCTTTTTTTTGGTGTTTAAAAATTTTTATGAAAGAATTGACAGAGAATTTTGTGCTTTAATTTGCAGATTTTTTTCAGTCCACTAATGTCATTGGTTAGAGGCAGTGGCATAAGATCTGAAATTGTTCGAGCGTAAAGGGAAGAGAGAGGGGATTATTGAATGAATGGATAAAGGGATTTTACCAAGGCTCGGAAACTAGGAAGCATTTTATATGTATTTAATGTAAAGAGGTGGAATTTGGGGGTATTTGGGGGTATTCAGCGGTATTTGTATGTTTCCGAGCATGGGATTTTACCCATGAATCTTTATCAAATTGATGAGTTTCCTGGCATCTCCTAATTACTGGGGTGTTCAAAATCAGAAGGTTTTTGATGGTTCTGTTCACGCGCGTAGCTAGGAGGGTCTTGTCCCCCCTTAAACGTTTTGAACCGCAGCGAGAGCACGGCCTAAAATGCTTAACAAAAAATGGAAAAATCCTGATTGTGGGTTATATTAGGAACCTTTTGACTACCAGGACAACCACGACCGAACATAAATTCATTCTGGAACTTATAACCTTCAATATGAATAGTTTTCTTTAAAGGGGTGATTCATCAATGATCGAAAAATTTTAAGAGGAAGGTGGTCTGTTGCTGTGTGTTTTAATTTGTGACAAAGAGAAGGATAGTCTAAGTCAGTGGTGGACAACCTTTTGGGAGTAAGCTTTGACCGAAACCGCAAGCGAATCTTATTTTTTGGTGGACGTCATTTATGAAGGACTCTATACAAATTTGAATAACCCAATAGAGAAGTCCCAAAAACTTCAAGTGCACAAGCTATTCTCATTCAAATTCAACATCATAAGTGAAAGATCTCCTTCATAAATACAAAAGCAATTAGTTATGATGCAAACTTAAAGATATATAGTCAAATTACAAAGACACAAGAAAGACATAAAAGCATACAAAGCAGTAACAATATAAGATATTTTCTATCAAATTAACGGTCCATAAACTTACATAATTTTCATAATATATAGATCCAATAGATTTCATATCCATCTGAAATTAATAATGTGAGAAATAAATTTGTGAGATAATATGATTTACAATGTAATGAGAGTGTTTAATTAATCATGTAGATTGTGAATACATAAATAAAGTACAAAACGAACGGAAACTATAAGACACTTGTCATAAAATCAAAATAATTACAGGAAAAGTTTATTAAGCATAGAGGATATGATGATGGGCTAGCTATAGTAAATTTGTCTGTCCATTTAATGATTTCTATTTATAAAAAGTTATTGCGTAAGTACAAAAAATGTTTATTTCTAGTAATTGTATTTATCAATGCAAACGTCAACGTCAATCTATTTTTAGGAAGTTAGCAAACCTACACAAATCTATGTCATAAGGATAATTAAATGTGGCGTTAATGAAAATGTGATAATCGATGCGGAAGTAAATACAATCATATCTTCTTTCATTGTCTATTTTAAGCAGACTAACGTCACGTTAAAAATTGTCAGTTACAGAAGTTTTACCGATTTTTTTTAAATATTTTGAATCTTTTTTAACCGTTGGAAAAAAACTTTATTCAACATAATTCGAAGCTTTTAACTGTTTAGTTCTTTAAAATAAATAATCTTTGACATATTTTTAATGTTTTTGAACTGAAAATGCTTAAGTAAATGCAAAAATTGGTGATTTTAAAAATTTTCAGAACAAAAATATCAAAAGTAAACAAAAGTTGTAAATGTGTAAGTGAATTTTTTCACGAATTATAAATTTGTTAATTAATTGTTAATTGAAGCTCTTTTTTCTAATGTGAACTATTTAATAGTGATGAAACATAATTAAGATTATGTTAATTTAGTTAAATCATTGTTAAAAGAAGCTTAAATCATTGATTTTGATTTTAAATTTTTTGATTTGTTTACATTTTTCTTAACGGTCAATAAAAATTCAAATTTTCGTCTCAAATTTCGAAGTTTTCGACATTAATTTGGAAGACATTTCGAATTTTTTCGAATATAAGGTGGCGTAAGTCTGATTTTAAGTTGAATTTTTTTTTGGTTTCGATTGCATTTGTTGAATTACAAACGGATTAAGGTTGAGTTAAGGTGTGAGTTTACTTGTATGTGGCGATTATGTTTAACACGACTAGACTAATGCTCTATATCAGTGTTTCTCAAACTTTTTAAACCGTGGATAAGTGGTTTTTGTTTTAATCTTGATCTAGTGCTAAGTCAAAAAGTAAGAGTTGCTTTAGCAGACAGGAATGATACTTATGAATAATATTACTATCGTCAAAACCTCTACGACCTTCTAGCAGGGGCGTAGCCAGGGGGGGGGGGGCCATAGGGGGCCCGGGCCCCCCCTACGAAAATCTGATAATTGTTTTATTAAGTATTTATAGAGAAGAACCAGTTAATGTAGAGGAATGATGAAAGAAATGTCAAAATCAGCACGAAAAATTAAATTTAATGTATGAATAATGAATTAAATATTTAAACTTATGAAGAATGAATATAGATTTAAGGATACAAATAACGGTTTTTTAATTTTCGAAAATGGGCCCCCCTTAAAATTTTCTGGCTACGCCCCTGGCTTCTAGTAATAATCATGATCCTTAAAATCGCTATGAAAATAAATTATCGTTTCCAAAACTCATCTCAGCCAACACTTTCACATTTTTCTAATAATTTTCGAAATTTTCAGTCACTACTTAACGTCGAGTTTACACAAAAGCAGTTATGAAAATCAATCAAAGAAAAGCATTGGATGTAACTAATTATCTAATTTGTCAATGTACGTATATACATAATGGTTAATGATGAATGATAATTTTGTACAAACATATGTGTAGATTAGAGACATACAGACTATATTGATATCAGTTGTAATTGGTAAATAGATTACTGATTCGTAGAAGAAATGAATATGTTTTATAGCTGCAATGAAGCTATTTGATTACTGACTGAGGAAAATTAGACAAATCGTAATTCAGCGTCAGAATCCGGTTTCAAGAACATCCTACCTTTAAAATTAAAAGTGTACTGGGGGTCCTCGATTTGAATAGGTGTTTTGTTCAAAGCCCGAAAAGCTTTAAACTTGATTCTAAGCCACAAAAATAATCAACGTTCAATGTCCGAAAAGCCTGAAACTTGATTGTAAGCTACAAAATCCTGTTCAAATTGAATAGTACTTAGTGGTTTCAGTAAAACAAGATTATGAATAGAAAAGAATACCCTGAGGTGACCTAGAAACTCATTCCAGACGACTGTTAAGGAACCCCATGTCTATGAGATGTTCTGCCATTAAGAAGACGATGTGGGTTGTCTAGCGACTTCTATAAGTCATATAAGAATGCTCATAAAAAACGTTTAGAATTAGATCCTGGGCTGCATAAGGCTTTATTTTGCAACCATTTGGAAGCAACAATAAGTTTGGATTTGATATGTCCCTTCTATGTGTCTTGGGGGCAAAGGGGCTCATGAATATTATTTTCCTGATTAACATCATTTATAAACAGCCCCTAAAAAAACCTTAAAGCTACTAATTCAAAAATTATCTTTCTCTTTAATTCCCACAAAATTATCGAAGCTGCTCAGAGGCCTACACTCCTAAATTATTTTAATTACCAAATGTGAGACTATAAATTTCAATGAGATAGTTATTTCATGGCAAATAGACGCAAATGAATGAGTGAATTAAGGAGGAGGCATTTTTGACATGTAACGTATTATCCCATGAGAAAATCGCACTAAAATATATGATAATGCCAGACAGTATGTGTGTGTGTGTGCATGTATACCACATTCATTTGCAATTTAACCAAGGAAATAAAGAGGAAAATAAAAAAAAAATTATACGTTGAATGTAGAATTATTCACAGTTGATATGATGAAGTTCCTTCAAAATTTATTGCACATAGCAAGCACGCACAGTAAAATTGCCATTTACATCAAAAAAACATAATTTTCATCAGTTCCAATTCTCCTATGAGACATAGTTTTCGTATTATTTTCTATTGATCCAACAGATGTGTCGTAGAGAAATTTGAATAATTTCCTCGACTGATTATATTATGGATAAAAGAAAGAGCACGATTGTGTACGGCATTGTGTGCTGATGTACGCACAAATACACAGATAAACTAATAAATGTGATTGAGTTTAAAATAATTGATGTCATGTTAAGTAAAATATTTTTGCATATGATTATGCAAATCGATACAACATAAGAATTGGTTTTCAGTTCGATGATATGAGAGATTGTAGTTTTTGTAAGGTTTAGAAACCGAAAGATAAATCTTGGGGTTGTTGAATTTCTGTGTCAATAACCTTGGGATTTTAGCATATTGCATCTATTGTTTTAAAATTGAAATTTAAAGGTTGGATTGAAATTTAAATGCTGATTTGATTGTTCTTAGAAGCATTGCATTGGATACTTGAGGACTAAAGTGATCAAGATGTAATCAAAAAATGTTTCATGATGTATTTTTATACAGTTTCAGTTGCTAAGAGGAAACTGAATTTTTGTGTCATGATGGGAAGGTTTAAAAGTCCAGTAATTGCTTAGGAAGAGATTTTTGATGCCCCGTGTTTTTGGTTTGGATTTCTTAAATGGCATCAACAGCCAAACCCATTGGATGACCCTTTTCTGTACTAGTGTAACTTTCTCGAACCCTTGGGATACTTTATCGACCTAATTTTAAGCTTACTTATTTTTAAAATAATATTAATAGAAGAATCAGCATAAATAAAGAAGTACACAGAGAACCGACCGAGCATTCACGATCAGGCGCCTTAAAAAATGAATAAATAATGCCGAAAATATTTTAGGGGAAAAACGTACGCACGGGGGTTTAATTGAGGATGGATTCAGAGCTGAGATACAGGTCGCCTGTCATAGGTCCAAGTGACAAATCTGTCAGATATTGCATATTAACACTCACTGCCTGTAACAGTGACAGGTGCCTATTCCATTTTTTTGGCAGGCTGTTGATTTTAACAGGCAATGTCTGTGACAGATTTGTCACTTGGATCTATGACAGGCGACCTCTATCGCATCTCTGCTTGGGTTGACAACAACCCTGGATTTTCACAATCATTTTATCCATTTATTTATTAGTGACTCCAAGGATCAGGATAAGAGAACTTTTTTGTTGCAACATCACTTAAATTATCGATTTATAAAAGCAGTTTAGCACGTGTAAAGTCATTTAAAATTGACTTCTTTTAAAGAATAAATTTTAAGCCACCCCAACCCCCCTTAATCCATCACAAAAAAAAAAAATATTTTCATGACAATGAACGAATCTAAATGCCTTAATTGAAATTTGTTTTGATTAATGCAGTCCAAACTCTATGTCTAATTTTACTTCAAACTTTTACATTAAAAGGTAATGACTTTAATGGTGTAATTGGAACATATGTGAATATAAAGGGTAGATTAAATGAGAAAACATTCAACAACTATATGAGTTTAGGATATTACAAAATGACATTTAGATGGAAACATATAGAAATTAAAAAGTGGAATTAAAGAAGATTTTAGATGGATTTACACTCAGAAAATTCTATCCTAACAATCTATTCCCAAAAGAAATCCCCTAAAAGCTTCATTAAATATTTTTTATCTCATAACCTAAAAAAAATATGAAATTTTCTGAAGTGTATTTGCTTTAAAAATTCATAATAAAATAGCAAGAGTTAAAAGCTACTCGGGAAATATTGAATGAAGGGAGGAAAAAATAAAGAAAATGCAATGGTGGAGCATCAATGGTGAATGTATGAGAGGAAAGAGAAATTACACATGAGAGAGCTATAAAATCGACAGCAGAAATAAATAATATTGATAACAGTAATAATAAAAATCAATAAAAGATTTTTTTTTTGTTAAAAATACCACTTGTAGAGTGTCAGCTTTTCGCTTTTTTCCATTACACCAGCCAACAGCATTAGGGTCATTATTATTTAATGAACAAACAGTAGCGATAGGCAGTGAAGCTGAGTGAGAAGCAAAGCAAGTTGAGGAAGCGAAAGAAGATATTGATGAACATACAGCTTTTAAATCTGATTGTAATGCACTCGATCCATTCTAAAAAAAGTTTTTTTTGTGATTTGTTTTTTTTTTGCAAGAAAAAGTAAAGTTGTCATGAGCAAGAAAGTTTCATAATATTAAGTTACATTTAGTTACATTTAATGCATCAAAGTGCATGTTACAGAACAATCCACACATATAAATCATTCTGAAGTAGAGCAATTAATGATTCTACATAATGTTTTTTGTAATGACTCTCAATAATTTTTCTACAAGAGTAATGAATATGCCATAAAATGAAAACATATAGAGAAAGAGAGAAATGAGAATGAACAGGAAGAGAAAATACAATTTTATGCATCGTCACTTATTATATGTACTTCACTCAATTTGATCACACATTCCAATTAAAATGGATTAGGATTTTCAATCTGATTTATTAACTTTTGATGAATTTCAAGGAATTTGATTTTAAAATGTTGAATGAATGGTGTTGGGATAGAAAATTTGAATTTGAGAATTGAATTAAGTCTTGATAATGATAGCATTGCTATCGAAATATATTGACGAATAAATTATATTTAAGTGTAGAAAGTAAAGCGTATTTTTGTTTTACTCATTAATTTAGTGTTCTTTCTACAAATTTCCGACATAATTCTTCGATTATTGGGATAGAGATTTTTTAGTAGGATCTTATCTCTATAAATGTGCGTTGCTGATTTGCTTAGTTGCTAGGTAAAATTCAATTTTGCTTTTATTAATGATGCACAATTTTAGAGATTTTTGAATACAAAACTTAATCCCGTTTGAAAATCTTTAAATTGTTTTCATTTGGCCATTATATTGTGCTCTAATAGTGTAGATTGGATTTATTTCGTTGGATCTTTTCTGGGTTTCAAAGCTCAAAGTCAACACTTGAATGAAATCTACTCAAAAAGTTGACTTCAAGTTTAGTCAACTCAAAAAATCAAATCGTTTCAACTTAAAAAATCAAATTGAGTCGAACCAACTTTTAAAAATTGATTAAAATCGCGAGTTTAAGCTCTGACAATCATGTCCCAGATTTTGAGCACAAAATACTTGGTTTCATTAAAACAAACGCAGTAATTTTAATTCTATCAGCACTTTGGACTCTTTACAAAATCAAAAGTGTTACGAAAGCTAGTCAGAATTATCAGAATGGTTATTAAAGTTAATTATTTTAAATAACTACTCAATACATTCCAATAATTTAACCATATAAAAGTCACAAATTCATTCGAAAATTGTGACGACTTCCAGCTCTAAAATCGTCTTCTTTTCATAAAAAGTTCTAAACCTAATTGTTTCTGAAACATCTCAAACTCTTACTTAATTGTACTCAGATATTTGGACATCCAAAAACGCTATAAACAACAATTGATCCAAATGGACAACATTGTAAGCGATTGATTTTAAATACTAACATTCAATTCAACTTGAAAACTCGAAAACAGCACACCAAATTGTGCAGAATGAACAAGAAAATATTCTCAACATGAATCTTTTGAATTGAAAGTTTGCTAGCAAAGAAATTCCATTATAAAAAGTTTTTGTGCTCCATATTTTTTCATTCAACTATACTTTTCGAATTTCAAAATTGAATCTGAAACTTTTTCTTAACAGAACTTAAATTTTCAGTCGAAATTGCTTCTCTCGTGAGTTCTGGAGTGTATTCCGGGTAACACAAAGCTATTTGGGAGTTGTTTTAGAACCCAAATAGAATTCTAAGATCAAACTTATCTACAAAGATCTGAATCTAAGCTTGATAGTTTGAATTATTGTCAAGATAAGATTTTACTTATTGATGATTAGGGTCGCTTGGGTAGGTTTAACCAGAGCTAGAAGACGACTCGAGATTTTCATCACTTTTGTATGGCAGAGTCAACTTCGAGTCGAATCGACTCCATACAAAATTTAATCGATTTCGAGCTCTGAGTTTAACGATGGAAACTCGAATTTCCCAGCAAGTTTAGGTTCAATTAATGGACATCATAAATGCACGACCACTAACGATCTTCATGATATTTAAGATATTGTCATTTAGCATTTATTATGGCTGTCGCACGACATCCAATTAATTTAAAATTGCAGTAAACTGCAAGTGCCCCAGAGTCATGATTTTAAATGGATGCAAAATAATAAAATAAATTTGGTATGGAGGAAGCATAATTTGATGAAAATGACAACAATGAAATTAACTCAATAATAAAATATAATTAAAAATAATGAAAATGCGTTGCTAAACGAGACAGATAGTGAGAATGAGAAAGTCTAAATAAAAGAAAAATGAAAAAAAAACACAGTAAAAAGAATAAAATGAAAAGTTTTTAATAAGAGCTATTACCGCGCGTGATTGAGCAGCCTTTATTTGAGCCTGCAGGTGTAAGGGAGGATGAAAATAGCGACAGGGTGAACGTGAGCATCTACCCTTAATTGCATCCATGCAAACCGTCACTGAACCATCATCGAGTTGGATTACACCATCTTTAGGATGAGCAAAACGGCATTCAGACTCTGCTCGCTTGCAAGCACCACGTATAAATTCGCGACAAACCTTAAAATTATTTAATTTTCAGTTATGACTCTTTTTTTTTGTTACTTAATTTTTTGCTTCATAATTATGATTATTAATAAAACATGAAAATAATTTTTAAACAGAGTAAAATGAAACAGAATTATGGGAAAATATTGATTCTTTAAGGTTTCAAAGTCAACAACCTAATTTTGAAAACAATTTTTCTTGACTTCTTTCAATTAAGCTTTATATTTTAATCAAGGAAAAAATGTTCGTTGTTACTTGTTTGAGAAAAAAATTTGAAGCAAATAGCAAAAGCATGGTCACATCGTCTCTGAGAGAACCATTTTTATTATTACATAAATTCATTCAAAAATATAAAAGTTTTTGTCAAGTGCTGATTATTTTGGTGGTGGCAGAGGTTTTATTGGAATCATTTGGTTGAATTTGAGGTGACTTTTTTAGGGGCTATTTCTTAGAAGTTTAAGGAGGTGATTATGACTTTGCTGACTATTTATTCTAGGTTCTAGAATTTGAATATATACAGAATAGTCCGAATCTCGGAAAAACTAAGTGGATGGTCAGCTTTTAGCATATAGGCAGATTGAAATTAAACTAGCTCATATAAGAGGCTTAAGAGGGTCTATGAGGTTCAAGAGGACATTACAATTTCAATTAAGAGAAGACCTAAGACATACATTATGATTTATTAAAGTAAGTTAAATTCTTACAAATGAACCTTATTCGGAGTTTGTATCAATAGACAAGCAAGTCATTCACTAAGATCCTGATATTGTTGAGCAGTTAATGAGGAAAGTTCAAACGGCCACTAACGGTGGATGATAATAAATAATTCTGGACATAAGGAGCGCATTTTAGGCATTTTCAGGAGCATTCAAAGGGGTCTGTAACAAGGTGCTAGTTGTAAGGTGGTCTGATCTCCTCGACAATTTTGAAATTTGTAAACTTCCAGCTTCACCTCAGGTTAGGCGCGTAGCCAAGGAGAGGGGGAGATTTGGGGGACAAATCCCCCAACGTAAACAGAAATTTCTTTATTTTGCTAGGGTTTTTATGAAAAAATTGAAAAATCACAAAAATACCCCCCCCCCCCTTTAAATTTTTCCATTCAAAAAAAAATTTTGGTCCCCCCCTCTTCAAATTCCTGGCTACGCCCCTACCTCAGGTAGATCTTTTTACGTACTGATTTATAAGAATGTCTAGTTTCAAAGGAAACCAAGTTGAATTTTTCCTCGATTTTCTAATTTTATCATCATTAAAATTTCAATAAGATTTTGCAAATAAAAGCAACTTATCAGAATTATTTAAAATTGATAAAGTTCATAAGAAATCTGCCAAAATACCTCAAATTCTTCAATATTTAATTCCACAGAAATCAATGCCATCCACCAAATGATCTTTGAAGCGCAATTTTAATATTTGCCAAAAAGTCTTTAAGCATAAAAAGCATAAAGAATAAAAAGTAAATTAATATATAAAAGCGTTTGATTATAAATCTTGTAAATGCTCATTTTCATCATTAGATTTTCAATATTATTCGCGGGTAGTTTACTATACAATGCGGGTTCTTGATCATATTAAATTGTAAATCTGATTATATTTAATTCAATTAAAAGCTTTTTTCATAAAAACTCTCATTTACAGACGTAGTTTTTCGCTTAGCAACAATGCAAAAAAGCAGTAAAGAAGAAAAGGAATAACAAAAAAAACATAAAAGAAATGATAATAATTAAAGAAAAATATGAAAAAAGTGAGAATTAGAAAAAAAAAGGAGAAAGAGAATGAATATCAAATTAACATCAACAAGTGCAGAAAAAGATTTTTTCTTCTTTTCTTATTTTCTTTTGTTTTTCATTAAACAATGTTCTTTTTGGTGAAATTGCAATTAAGAGAAGCAGCAAAAGCATGTTTTTATATTATTTAGGTTTTGTTTTTATTATAAGCTGTCGTTTATTATTTTTTTCCCACTTTCTTTAAGCAGCATTTGATGTTCATTTTGAGAAAAGATTTGCAGAATTAATTTATTTAGATTTCTTCGAGCTACAATGTTGAAGGCTTTTGTTGGAAAAATCGTGCAATTTCATCAGAGTCGCTTTTAGATTTCTTTTCTAGCAATTTTGTTAAACAAAATGAATTTTTGGTGTTTAATGCTTTTCGTGGATTGTGGTTCATAGGACCGACAAAAAATTTGGCCAAATTTGGCCAAAATTTTTGACCAAATTTTCACCCAAATTTACCCAAATTGCACCCAAATTTCACCCAAATTTGGCCGCATTTTTATTAGAAATTGTTTGAATAATATTTTTTGAAAATGTTCTCCCAAATTTTTGGCCAAATTTTCATCCAAAATTTGGTCAAAATTTTAACCAAATATCGACCAAATTTTTGTTCAAATTTTGCTTTTTTTTGAAAAAATTGAGACAGTTTTTTAGATTCTTGTCGACTTTAACGTATTTATAATCCTTAGTAAAATAAAGATCTAATATAATATAAATTACGTTCACAAATTAAATGCAGTTTCTAGTCTTATTCGTTTGGATTCAAATTTAGTCTGGAAAAGCAGACTGGATCCAAGGAACTTCTAAGTGCACCTTACAAAGATTCAGGAAGAAACAAATTTCGTTCTTTGTCGTTAAGTGAAACGACAATTTTCATAAAATTTAAATTCATAGTATTATTGCAAATTGTTGTGTTTCACAAATTTTAATCGGATCAACGCTTTTCAGTTCTTTAAAACTGATTTAATGATTTATTGATGCTTATTTCTCCAAAATTATTTATATCTTAAAGAAATTACTTAATATAATTCAAAAATCTTCAAAATATTTTACTGCTTGTTGAAACGCATAAGTTTTACTCCAATGATTTAATTAAAGGAAGTTTGAAGAGTCTGATGGTGGCCCATGGATCCATTTTACTCAAATGTTTTAAACTACTTATTTATCTTTTCAAATATTTTTAAAAATATTTTGAAAAATTATACTTTAAATTTATTTTGTTGAAAATTAAACATCGTGAATATTTTCTGTTTTCAAATCTTTACGAGATTTGTAAAACTTCTTAAAAGTTTAAAAAAAAATTTCAGATTCAGATACATTTTGTTTTCAGTTTCAAAAAATAATTATAATAAATTTCCAAAAACAAAAAACCTGAATGCAAAATTATTTCGCTATGTAAAAGTTTAAGTGACAAAAAAAGATTAAGACGTCAAATACAAAAACAACTTATATCTTTTGAGATTAAAAATTTAATAAAAATTATTTATAGACCCAGCTTTCTCTCAACCAAAATGTAAAACCAAGTATATCGGGTAGAAACCCAATGCGGATATATTCACACCGTGTCATCAAAAGTCTTATGGATTGACCAAGATTTGCTTAGCATAAGTTTGAAGGTATAAAGCTAGCGAGTCAGCTGAGCTGTGCTCAGCATATGTTTGGAGGTTTAAAGCTTAACGAGTATTTTTAAAGTTTTTTAAAAACATTTTTCATCCAAAGTTTAATTTTAAAAAAAATCACAGTGAACTTTTTTTTTTAAAAAATTCGTTTGAAAGGAAAGTTTTTTGCTTTTTCTGAAGCAACGGCTGTTCCTACCTTGCCCAAAAACAATACTACTCTTCTATAGAGCAGCACGGATCAAATTCAAAAAACTAGTAGTCTCAACGATGTCTCGTTATTGAGATTTCTTGCTGATTAACTTGCTTGCTTGTTTGCTTACAGAAAGCGTATTTTACGATTTTCTCAGCAATGCCTCAACCAATTTGAAATCTGTTTTTCCAGAAGATGTAAAATTTCAGGCACAAACTTTTCTTCAAGGATGCGAATCAAAACCAATAGATTCATACTTGAAAATCAAAACTTAAAACGTTTCATATGAGATTCGGAAAAAATACTTAATTTGCAATCTTATTCCCTATAAAGAGGGTGACAAGATATTTTTTGAAAAATGGTCAAACCTAAAACTTTGCATCTTTATTGAATTAAATATCTCTTAAAAGAAAGAAAAATCATCAATAATATTAAATTGAAAAATTCAGATTTCAATTGGATTTTTAAGACTTAATAAGCAGTTTTCTGTTGATTTGGTAGTTTAAATATGCAAATCTAAGCTTAACTTAGCTAACAACAGCTAGTAGGATATCGAAATAACAACCTAAAGTAGAGAAACCAAAGATTTTTTTCATAAACAAATTGTAAACAAATTTTTGGTGAGAATAAATTAAAGATTTTGTGGAATTAGACATTCAATTGGGACAAGATATGTTCACAGGATATGTTTCAAGTTGAGATCTTTAATCTCATTCAAAAATTGAAGTTTAATTAATATGATATTTCTAAATTTTTAAAAAAATTTTCCGTATCTGAATCACTGTGGAATGCTGCTCTAGAAGATCTAGATAATTTGGATGCATACATGACCTTAAAAATATTCAAACGTAATTTAGATATATTTTATTAGATTTTTAAAACTATAGTTATTTTAAAACCCTGCATAAGTTGCAAAAGTTCATATACAAACAAAGCGTAGCGCTAAAAGCAATTGGTTTAAATATTATGAAAAAATTAATCGTATTTTTTTAAAACTTGAACAAAAATTTGGTCGATATTTGGTAAGGTGACCATCTGCCTAGTTTTACAACGGACAGTCCTGTATTTCAAAACCCTGTCCTGTATTAATTTGAAAATTTTGTTCCAGGTCCTGTATTTTTTTCACGAAAATTTCCGTTAATTTTAAATTTTCCTTTGTGTCCTGTATTTTCATAAAAATTAGATGGTCACCCTAATATTTGGTTAAAAATTTGACCAAATTTGGATGAAAATTTGGTTCAAAATTTACCCAAATTGCACCCAAATTTCACTCAAATTTGGCCAAAAATTTGGGAGAACATTTTCAAAAAAATGTTATTCGAACAATTCTTTAATAAAAATGCGGCCAAATTTGGGTGCAATTTGGGTAAACTTGGGTGAAAATTTGGTCAAAAATTTTGGCCAAATTTGGCCAAATTTTTTGTCGGTCCTATG